TTTTTAATTTTCATCTTTCATATTTTATCTTGAGAAATTCATGTGATATTAAATATTCTATTTTGATAAAACTTAATGAATTCATTCTTACGGTCAAATTAAGTATGTATTGTTTTGATTGAGAACTATTTTATAATTTCATTATTAATTCTTACTCAACATTCAGATCTTGACATTTTGATAAATCAAGGAGTCTCATACTATATTTCAATTACTAAATAATTGATGTATTCTTTTTGTTGAGAACTACTTTGAAATCTCTTTATTTAAAATATTTCTTACTCAATATTTGATAAATTTTGATATCATGTGTTATAATCAACATCAATGAGTCTCATATATTCGACCTATAACATCTACCTCAATGTTGAATTTTAAAGTAATTACTGCTTTCGTTCATTTTACTTATCATATTTCACCTTTTTATGGTTAATTTTACTATTCTCAATGCTCAAATGAATTAGATTAATTCACTATTTTAGAGTTAAAATTTAAATATTTTGAAATATTTACGAAAAATACTATAAAGATTCAATGTTTCTCACATTAATATGATTTTAAAAAAAAACATATTAAATATAATACGGGTGAAAGTTAATATAATTTAACTTTCAAAAAAATATAAGAAACAAAATTAAATGGGATCGAAATGTATATACTCTACTATATTATAAACATTTTTCTACTTCTTAATTGACTCTGTAATTTTGAAAGCTATTTTTATGTATCATTGATTTAACAATAGAGACAAAACTTAACTTTTTTATTATAAATATATCGTTGCAGTGAAGTTGAAATAATTCATACATATTTTGCAATTTTTTTTATTGCACCGAACAATGTTCAATCAAACATAACAATATATACTACATTAAATGGAATATAAGCATATAATAAATCAATTATAAGAGAGAGGATGAAGAGGCTAACATCCTAAAGAACACAAGCTCCAAATATATATAGAGATTGTCAAATTCAATACTTTTAAAAATTTTGTAAGATAATTTATAATATTTGTTGGTTTATTTTTAAAAAATAGTATAATAATGTTTTTCTCCAAATTTCTTATGATTCATTTAGTGTAATATTCGGAAAATCGATATATACAATATACTTAGTGGTTCTTATTTTTTTGATAAGTATATTTGTATATGTATTTGTGGTTCTTCATTTAATAAAAAAAAATAGGTGTAAAAACGATTTTATATATATGCTCAAAATGTATACAAAAGTTTTTGAAATTCTTTTCTCTATCTACTTCCTTTTAAGAAAAATAATTATTCTTTTCTTTCACTTATAAGTTTACTACACGAGTATCTATGGAAGATTAAAAACTTATAAATGATTATAAATAATAAATAATATATAAATTAAAGATCTTTTAAAGAAATAATTGAAATGGAAGTATGATTTGTGCGTAAATTTTATTAGAAATATATAAACACAATTTATATAAAAAAAATTTAAAATCACGTGTAGCACGATCAAGTTCACTAATAATAATATAAAATTGAGGTGGGAGAAGAAAATTCTCTTTTAGAGAGTAAAATTAAGGGCATCTCCAACCCTACACTCTATTTTACTCTCCAAATATAGAGTTTTCTATTTTTTTCTGACAACCAAATCCAATTCAATTCTCTATTTTACTCTCTAAAAAGAATTTGTTTTTCTCTCCTCAATATTATATTATTATTTCTATTTCATTCTTATTTTCTTATTTCATGATATAAATCATTTATTTCTTTTTCCCAATAATTAATTTATAAAATTCTCATGTGATCCAAAAAATTATTTTTTAATTTTTTAAATTTAATTATTATATTTTATTCAAAAATTTCAAATACCATAAATTACACGAGAATATTGTATAATATATAAATTAATGAACAAATTCAAATTAAATTGAAATACGATTACATTAACATTACATGATCACTCAATTTTCGAAATTATTACGTTGCTCATATAAATGCTTTATTAATGCATTATAGAGTTCAAAAATAATCATTTTTTTTCCTTAATTTTATTATGTCTAGCTAAAAATTGTTCAAATCGGAGATTTTCATCTAACACCATTTTTGTCGTTGGAGTTGGAGCCTCTATGACATCTTGAATTGGTGCATTAAGATCACGCTACTCCTTAATTATCACGTCGTGTTTTATAATAAATGTAGTCATTTTATCATGTAGGACTTTCTTTCTCCGAAAATGTGAGGGACATACAATAATTGCAAAACTCCGAATCATCGTCCAACATCTTTTTGACATGATTCTTGTTTCATCGCGAATTAATTATTATATTATATTATTATTATTATTATATTTTATGTTATATTTAAATTATTATGTTATGTATTGTATTGTTATCTTGTATTTAAATGAAAATTTTCATATATAATTTTAATTTTATGTATTCATTATAATGAAAATTAGTAATAAAATAAAATTTTATTATTGATGAAAATTATTAAAAAAATATATAGAGAGTCGATTTCAGTACCCAAATTTCAGAGTTGAAGTGTTTTGGAACGAAGACGCTCGACGGACCGTTGTGCCTATGATTGTTCTTTACTTGTTTCATTCCTCTGTTTTTCTTGTCGATTTTCTTGTTATCTCTCTTTAATCTCAGCATATGTCGCGTGAATTCAACGTCATCAATCTCATCCCCCATCGAGCTCTTTCTATGTTTCTGAAGAAAAATCAAACATTGTAATCATCAAAACCATACAACAACAACAAACATAACTAGTGAAATACCCCTATCTCGTGAAGGTATGAAGACTATTCCTTGAGGAAACTCGGCTAGAGTGTAACATAAAGGAAAAACACAACAACTAATAAGGAACAGCAACAACCACAAAATAATGTGATAATCTAAACACAATCAACAACAAGTGACGGTGGGATCAAAACGTTGACACTATAAGAAAACGGCTAAACCCTTGAACCCATGTCTACTAACCTTCTACCCTATTACACGATCTCTATATACTCCTATCTAAGATCATGTCCTTAATAATCTGGATTTGTCATATATCCGATCTAATCACCTCTCCTCAATATGATACACGTTATGAAACTATGCGTAAGTTAAACAACTATTCAAACAAGTAAGATGTCATAATAATGTAACGTTTCATAAAGTATCAAGCTATACCTTATTTACTATTATAGCTATCGAAAGAACATATCACAATATTTTATTCTATCCCTTCCACCTTCCAGAATGAGATGAATATTATACTGTTGATTTCTCATATGTTATTCAATTAATAGTTATTACATCTGATCAAGAAATATGGTTTCTGAGATAATAACTATAAAAAAAATCAACCTGATGATTACTAGGTTATTTAATATTATGCATCAACGCTATAACTATAAAACTTAAACATGGATTAAAATTAGATCATAAAAGTTTTAATCGAACAGAAAATAACTCTTACTAATACATAAATTAGTAATTAGAAAACAATTAAAAGGTGAATAAAATTGTAAATTAAGAAAACATACAATTTGATGTGGTCTGTTGTTGTTGTTAAAGAAAACCTGAGCACTCAAAATTTTTCAGGATAATGTGATAAACCTATTTTATTTGGTATTTATAGAAAGTTTTTTTCTCTGACCTTGTGTAATTAGGAGTCTCGCTAAGAAAATAAATACTATTCCCTTCCATATTTGTTAGAAAAGGTTACTAAAAATAATTATTTTAATTTACCTGTTATTTATAAATTAATTATTTTTGTTTCTTTTTACTTTTAGTATTAAATGTTCTTGAAATATTATCAACTAAGCCTGTTTGGATGGGCTTGTAACTTTCAATATGGAAAAATTACGCGGTTAAACAAATTTATACTATTTAATTACTCATCATAGCCATGGTTTGCTATAATTATCACTCACGACTAACATTATACGTGGGCTGACTTCGAGTTTGTATATTATCCACATTTGTATATGTATAATTCGTCATAATATACAAATACTAATGTATAATATACAATACCGATATACATATACAATTTACCTCTTACCCACTCGCTGCCCTCTCTCGCTCGCCTCTTTCCTCTTTCTCCCAATCTCGCTCGCCTCTCTCCTCCCTCTCCCAATCTCACTTGCCATATATACAAATACATATGTATAATGTACAATCATCTACTCGATATACATATATAATTCACCTCTCTCGCTCGCCTCTCTCCTCTTTCTCCGATCTCGCTCGACTCTCTCCTCTCTATAGCATGTAGCTACGGATTGTAATTATATGTAACTATAGCTATGGAGAGTAAATAAGTTTTTGATCAGTGGCTATATGTGAAAGTTCCTCTTTAACTATTAAGAGCACGTTCCTTTTCTTGGTTAACTCGTGAAGAAAAAGAAAACTGAATCATTTCTTAGTCCTTTTAAAACTTTACAATAGAAGAAGACGGAACTCATAGACAATTCCTTAAATCTATAGTAAATATGATTTGAACACTTATTTTACGTTCTGCTTAAAACACACGATAATGAATTTCTAGTTTTCTACTAGATACTTTCTCCTCAAATTGTAAAAAGCAATATGAGAATGTTGTCAATTTGAGGTCAGCTAGAAACATTGATGTGAAGTGCACTATGATACAAAATACATAATTTAAACCAAGATATACACCATAGTTTAATCAATAATTACTAATTATTTTGTATAACAAAATTAATTAAAATTTGTGTATATTATTATTTAACATTGATTTTCAGATCAATATTATCCATTAATGGTGGAAAAATATAAATTTTGATTTACAATGATTGAAATGTTTTTTTTATTATTATATATTAAACCTATAATTAAAATACCATAATCTATAAAGGGTATTAAATGTTTCGTTTTAACAGTTTCGACAATAAAAAAATGAATCAATAATTCAAATCCGTACGAGAAAGATCAAATAATTTACAATTTAAATATCGTAGGAACAACAATATTATAGCAATTATCAATACTTCTAATCATATGCTCGCAAATTTTTTTAATCAATTTTTTGTTGGGCCCATGGCCATTTTATTGATTGACAAGCAAAATAGGTTTGGCCAAACGACCCAATAAGAAATAAATCCAGCCCAGAAATTAACCCTATAAACTTCCGCCTCCTTCTCACTTTCCTTGTATCCTTGTCGTCCATATGCTCCCATCCGGCAGTCGTTAGAACCTCCAGCTTCGCCGTCTTCTTCTATGGGTTTGGTGCCTTCATGCCACCCTCCTCCACTTTTGGCAGCTCACATAAGAGCATTCACTACTAAAAGGTAACTCTTCTTCCTTCCTTTCTTTTGCTTCATTTTCCATTTCTTGATATTTAATCAGTGGTTGCCTTTGTTTGTGAAGTACTGTGAAGTCCACCAGTGTGTGGAAATCTTGGAGGTAGCTATTGTGAGTGTGCCATTTGAACACAGGTTCCTTCTCTCCTTCTTTAGGATGCACTTCCCCCCCCCTTAGATTCGACTCTCCTTTCTTTTCTTTTCCTCCTTTGAATTGTTCAAGTTAAATTTGTGCTTCAAACACACTTTTTCTTTGGTTTCGAGCTGACCTCCATGCTTTCTTGTTAGAGAAGATATTTTACCCCTGCCTATTTTTGGTGAAAGTTTTAACGTGTTAAGCTTTGTTAATGTACCTGTAATGACCCCTCCCCCCATGTAGGCGTTCTCTTATGTAATTATTTCTGGATCAGCCCTTCCCTTCCAGATTATGAACCTGATTCTAATTTGTCATGTGGTTTAATCTATTTTATTTTTATCCTGATGGATGACTTCTGTGCTTTGTCAATATTAATGATGCGCTTTCATGTTGTTGGTAATTCCGCAGACCCAGTGAATTCTTTTTGTCTATGCTAATGATTGCTAGATTAGCTAAATAATCCGCCATTTCATTGCCCTCCTTAAAAATATATTGAACTTTAACATTTTTTGTTGTACTTCTTTGAATATTTCATCCCTGATTTCTACAATTTCCCATGATACTTTTCGTGTATGTTAAATAAGGTTCTTTAGAGTGAGTGAATAAGTTTTAATATCCATATTGTTCTGTAAACTATTCAGTGCACTAAACCTTAAGCCTTTTGTACTGCTCTTGTCTCCGCTTCTATATTCATAGTAATACCAATTTTGTCTGCTTGTGCATAGATGAAGTCTCCAGTTTTGTTTCTTATGAAGAAATCATACACGCCCTCCCCTGTATATACTTTACTCGCACTATTTATATTTCAGTTCAATTGGTCTTCCTTTGGTAGCTTTCATTTTACAATCTGGTAGTAAATCCTTGGCATATAAGCTCCTATTATTTTCACATTTCACGCCAAGATTTCCCATTTATTTTGAACTTTGAATTGTTAACTATTACCAGCAATTAAATGCTCCTTTCCACTTGTTGTACCAACTCATCAAAGGTGGACTGACCCAATGCTTGATATGATTCCTTTTCTTCAACAAATCCACATAATGAGAGTTGACATAACTCTAAAAATATGTTTGAGTTTTGTAGGAGCTTCCACATACGAGTATCTCTTTATCATCTTCATCGAATTTCTGCCTTCTGTATCCAAACCTGCTCATGAAACAAAATACTTCCAAAGCTTTTGGGCAATGCTAGATGTTAGAAAAAGATTCGACATTGTTTTTATTTGTTGTGTCTCATAACACCAACATTGGAGACAGTGTTCATTCTCATTCTCCTTCATTGTCATTTGTGGCAATCATTCCTTCCCACACCCTCCATAAAAAAAATTGTTCTTGAAAGGCAAGCTCTTTTAATTGAAAAGAACTCTTTAAGTTTCCCATCCATCAAGGCTTATCGTGATTTCCTATATTCATTACCAGAGAGATAGAACTCACAATATGG